TCAATCAGTCACAGCTGTATTGTGGATAGACTACCATCTGGATGTATCTCAGAATTAAGATCAGCACAGAGCTATGTATTTGTTCAAGGTGCACCCAAGAATATCTAAACTTCATGTACTTATATACTTGATACATGTATTTGTGTAATTTTACTATTGAAGCTGTGTTAAGCCCCTTGCTTGTGCTGTATATAAATATATACCACAGCACATGTGGATGGGCTTCAAATAGTACTTAAGTACTATACTCAAGTACTTAAAATTCAGACAGGCCGTGACCAAGGCAGCTGAGACATCTCCAACAACAGCAGCAAAACAAGGACACAGGAACACAACTGAGAATCAAGTTCAGAAGCATTCAGGACAGAGAACAGTAGGCACGTACACACAGAACTGAAGAACTGTGGGTGACTGACACTTTCTAATCAGATGCTTCAAGCCGATGCTAGCTTTATGGAATGCAGAGATGGGATTCTTGGATCAGCAGCTAAATGAAGCAAGACGTGGTGAAGCACCACCTCTTGTTTGTACCTTTTTAATGTTTTATGTAGTTATTGTAAATTGTTCCTAAAAACATTAAAGCAAAAGAGAATACAACAGTATTCCCTAGATAGTCTATTGTGGAGCATGTTGTCCCCTATACATCTGACCCATCCTCACCTCCATTTGCCCCTTGTTCTTCCCACACAGCAAGGAGATCTGTGAGGCCAACACCACCATCATGTGCCCCATGTGTGAACGCAACTGCACCTCCTGGAGGCTGAGTGACAGCTGCGTCTTCGCCAAGGTGAGGCCTTCCCTGCTGTTCTCCTTGAACCTGGAGCCACGCCGCAGCACTGCACTGAAGACTGTGGGAAATAGGGTTCCTGCATTCATGAATCTTTAAACAGGGAAACAAAGTGAAATACGCTGGGAGTCAGAGCTGGGGATTGACCCCTCCTCTATCTGCTCTGGGGCAGAGCAGTAGCTCTGTGGCTAAGGATCTCGAAGGTTGCTTGTTCAAATCCAGCGGCCGGCAGAGGAATCCTATTCCATTGGTCCCCTGAGCAAGGCCCTTAACCCCAACTGCTCCAGGGGTGCTGTATAAATGGCTGACCCTGCGCTCTGACCCCAAGCTTCTCTCTCCCTGTTTGTGTGTCTCATGGAGAGCAAGTTGGGGTATGCAAAAAGACTAATTCCTAAGGCAAGAAATTGTATATGGCCAATAAAGTGATTTTATCAATCTAAACATTTTTGTAAGTAGCATGACTGAACTGAACACATTTTGGGGTACACATGTGGTTTGTAAGTGGTTGAGTCTTCTAATCCTCTAGAATCAAAAGGAGGCACATCGCTCCCCCCGATACTGCAGTCTTCCAACGTCACCCCGATTCTCATCCGAGTGAGGCTGCATTCCCATGGGCCCGACAGTCCTGTCTCGATTGAGACACGCTCCAGCTTAGGTGGCAAGTTAGGGTTAGAAGGCAGTTTTGCCACTGGTTTGTCTTGGTTCGTTTGAACTCCTCCAACCTGTGGTTCCTGAAAAAAGGCCGTGCTGTGTTTTTCTGGGTCCGGGTCCGAGGACTGGTTATGGATGCCCATTGCCAGTCTGCATTGCCACTTAGTCACAGCTGTCCTCAGTAGCCTGGCACGTGCAGAGTGTGCAAATACTGAACATAAAGGCTCTTGATGTTGCTGCGATGTAAAAGTGCCACATCTAGAATGACAGTGCCCTGGTTTAATTTTATTCAATGTGCTTTTTCAGTGTTTTTTACAAAATGTGTAGCTGTAGCCATTATCCATTTCTTAAGATCTGTTTTACAGAAAGTTGCATTGGGAGTTACAATATGCTGTAAATTAGTCATAAGTTAAGAAACAAAAGACTTTTTAAAAATTGGTGGAATAAAGATCCAGTAAGCCTAGAATGTGAAGAAGCCCGGATCAAAGCAGTCAATCATTACTGTTAGCAAAGTATGCTCTCTAGTGTTGAGTCCCTATAGTGCACATTTTAGCAATAGGCCCGGAACATGGAAATTGAAAAAGAGAAGCTTTTTTTTCCCCAAGTCCCCAAATTGCTTTTCTCATTCTCTTGATAACGTAGAAGTCTCCTGCCATGCATGAGATCCCCTACAGCTGTGCTCATGTAGAAGTGAAAACCCAGGCCAGTCACGAACTGGTTTGGCAGACTTCTCAGTCTCTTTTTCACACTATCTTCAGCACAGTAATGCTCCTCCATAATCATTTCTTCCAAAGAACTGCATTGATTCATATCTCACATTCAGAATAAATGAATATTCTGTGATCCCATCTCTTTGTACCACCTGAAAACATATGGATTGTCTTGTTATTACTTTTTAAAACAACTACAGTACATCACTTGT